AAACTGACTATATATCGTCTTTTACTTAAGTACTCATTCCAAAGAACAATTTAACTACTAAGTTTAAATTTTCAGTTAAGTCAATTTCAGGCTATTTGAAATTCTAATACATAACACAATTTATCAACTACATAACACTCCCCTTATATCATTATCGAATCTGCTGTTATTTGCAGGTTTGCCTATCTAATACTTATGGGAAATCGGTTTTACTTGAAAATACCACACCTGAAAACTAAGAGGATGATCGGCTTACATTGAATGAAAAAGCTTGACTCTGCCTCACTCGATGCCATTATTAACTATGCAAAAGTTATTGTTATTCATCTTGTCTCAAATATTAGCATTTTAAATGGCACTGGCAATGTGGCCTTTCAGTATATATGGCTGAGAGTGAGAAAAAAGTCTTCACAGTTAGGAAAGTTGTGTAAGCTGCAGTCAGAGCAACATATAAAAGGGAGTTGTGACCGTTACTTTGTGAGCTATTGGGTGTAATGACTTGATAACATATCTTAATTTTAGATGATTTAATTAACCACTAGAAGCAGTTAAGGTTGTAACTAGGATTGGAAGCACCATGTAACTTCTATACAAATGTAGGTATTGAACTTCTATCTAGCTCTAATCTTACATGAAGAATTCCGATAATCGTGCTCTGAAGGTGATACATAAGGAGCAAATACACACACAAAAGGTCAAATTAAATGCAGCGAAGGTTGAGTTAGCAAAGGACTAATCATGCATAGGGAAGTTTCGTTGCATTTGTATAAAAAGGAGAGAAGAAAATAAAGAGATAGAGAACATTGTAAAATAGAGTTCATGTTTTCCATGATTAAATCCCGTGTTAATTGGGATTTCCAAACTCAAGAAAGAAGTACAGAAAGACAGTATTTATTTACCATCTTTATCTTCCAGTAAAGTTGGGGCATGTAAATTGTTTATCTTGTTTTATCTTTGTAGTTTTGAATATGTTTCTCCATGAATGATTTAAGGGACAACAAATGGCCCACTTACCCTATCGTGATTGTCCTGTTCATTTTTTCAAGCCTTGACTCTTCAACTACTCGTCAAACTCTTAAATAAATTCTCCCAATCCTTTGCTTCCACCATTTCTGAAAACAATCAATTCCAGTGGCTGCCCACCCTGTTCGAAAAACAAACATGTACAATTTACACGACTGCTACCCTTACAACTCTTAAATATATGTGCCCTAATCCTTCCATTCTAATCCTACTAAAAATATGATGTGTAAAACCTATCCATTTCCTTTGTAATTTTTACCACTTCAATCATATTACCTCTAAGCATTCTTTTGTCAATAGAAAATAATTTTAAGAACCTTAACCTGCCTCATATGACAGCTCCTCTATTCCAGGAATTATTCTAGTAGCCTTCCTCTGAACCATTTCCAACAATTCAATGTCCTTCTTAAAGTAAAGAAGCCAAAACCTGAAATACTCTAAATGTCCTAACCAGAGTCAAATTCAATTTCTCTCTTGCTGGATCCTTATTTTTGCTTGTTGTTCACATAAACCCATCTTCTATCATCATTTTTGGAGCACTTCCGACCTTTCTTTACTAAATTGGGTTGAACTATTGTAGCTGTAGAAACCAGTGTCAATCAACATATGGCAAGTCTTCCACATCAACAAAGTAACAGACTTGTTTCTTTAAATAATGAACATTTAATCTCATTTAGGACAGAGGGGGTATTTTCACTGAACATTGCTCCATCATTTCAGCTACTTCCCTCTTCCAGATGTTTGGATAGTCCTTTGCTTTTTCGGGTTTGTAGACTCACCATTGGGATATTTTTTCCCTGGTGTATGAGCAGTTCTTGATTTTTCAGTCTCTGCTGTAATTACCAAATTTCAAACATCTATTATAGTTCACTCTTTCTGGTATCCTTTGGGAGGAGTTTGTATTTCCCAAAGGCTTTTGTCTGTATTTCCTAGCAATATTTCCTTTCAAGCTACACTTGAAACACACATTGTCTTTTGGTTTATTTCCTTTATTCTCTGCAACTAGTTGTTTAACTAATCCTTTTAGGTCTTCTAGACTTTCATCAGAGGGAGTTGTTGTATCAATACTGTTCGATCTGATGATCTATTAATTTGTTATGACATTTACAAATTGGTCACATATCAAAACATCTCCCATTTCACATGAAGCATTTGGGTACAATAATTGGGCAAAGCTTTAAAAATCTTATGCAAATTCAGCTAAGGTTAATTCTTTCCTTCGTACCTATTCAAGAACTTTTCTCTGGATACTTCCTTCTAGTGTGTCACTCTGAACCTGTTGGATAAGGTAGTTAATAATGCTATATAACTGTTGCCTCTCTCAGCTGTAAGGTTACTTAATTTTGGTAAAGCTGGCCTTTTTAAATGGACACCAAGATGAATAGAATGTTGTTTACTATTCCACCTGTTTCCTTTGGAAATTTTAAACTGAACCAGAAATGCCTCCCATAGTACCTTTACGTCATAGTCCATGGTTTCTCATTTAAGCTATGTTGTTTAATTGGCCAGTAACTGATTTAGTAATGACTTGACTGGAGTAGTCCAGGAAAGTACTACAGTAACAAATGGCACAGCAGTAGTGGAAATAGGTGCAGAACAAATAAATTATATTCTATATTTTGTAGTAGATGATGTTTTAGGTTGGAAATCTTGAGCAGATGCAGAAAGAGGTGGGGCTGGATTAATCCTTGCATTTAATAATGCATTCTCCAGCTATTTTTTCTTTACTTCCTTTGGTCATATATTTCTTTACTTCTTCAATCTTGTCATTACAGACTCTTTGTGCTTTTTTAATCTTCTTGTTGTAATCGTTTTGTACATCTCCAATAGCTTCATCGATTTTGTGCAAATTGTGTTCAATTAGTGTTATTTTGATTCTTTTTAAAAACTACATCTTGTTCTTTTAACTCCGCTCTCGATTTTATTTTAACTTTCTGTCATGATCTTACTTTCTGACCCTTTCTTCTTGTTCTTCTCTTAGTTATGTCTCTTTTTTTTGGCTTTTTTTTATTTCCTGTTTCTCTTTCTTCATGAATTTTTTTTAACCCTACCGACACGGGTCGAAGGCCATGTCATCGTGTTTGTTGACTAGCATTCAAAAGTTTATTGAACTACTATTTTATGAGTGTATGTTAATAAGTTTGGTATAAAACTGTAGATTATAATTCAAACTTTAGTATTATACATTATTTAATTTCTTAATTTAAAAATAAATAAAAAATCCTAAATATTGATTTCTGTGTCACGTGGTATGTTGAATGCAGC